GTGGGGCATTTTGAAAGCTCACATCAACAATCAGCAAATACTGGGGCATGCTGAAAGCTCATTTCAATCAGAATCAAGAATGTTGGCGCATTTTGAACGTCTGTATTAGCCAATGTTGGGGCATGCTGAAGTCCCACATCGTCATATGTTAAAGATCATTGACGTGAGCAAATATTTCCAATAAGATAAAAAGGAATGAAGAATGAAAATGGTGAAACAGTGACAGTGGAGGTGACTATACATTATTGTTTCGTTCATCAGGCAGTTGCATCAGAGTCCTTTTGTTGAACAAATATTTACTCAGCAAATATGGTTTCAAATACCCAATCTTCTTAACTATGTGTCACATGACAACGTGTTCTTTGTTAAGCTACATCATGGTTGCATGAATAAAGATGGTCCCCAGGTAGACCATTCAATCTAGGGTTCAGTTCCTCAAAATCTCGGTTTTGAATTTTGTATTCTGTGTGTCAGTGATGATTGGAAATATTTCTTTGAGATTCCTGACAATTAGTTTCAATCATACTGTTGAGGCTACGAAGTCATTTTTCATATCAGTTTTCACTTACTTGATGACATTGAAGAAATAGGCTTAGCTTATGTTATTCTTATTCTCGTTGTTACTAGGGTTATCATTGCCAGCCAGGGTGAATTAAGTTTTCATCTATTTTGGTTTTATCCTGTGCGTTTCATCCCTAACGACAAGAATTCCATGGATATCGTTCTGTACATGGCTCCTATAGCTGATGTGTTTCTAATTCCTACAACACTTGTTATGGAAGAAAACACAATCAATATCACACTTACCCTTGCATGAGACAATATCAAGATCAATTGGTATCTCTTATTCAATTCATCACTAGCATATCTCGCGAATTTGATCAACTTTTTGGTCACACCAACATCTCATTTGTATTCATATTGAGTTTTGTTCTCAAGTGATCTTGTGACGTTATACGAAAGTTATGAGCGCTACAAAAGAGCCTTCCTAACCAGAAATCTGTGCATGAGTCACATGAAATGATGAATGTGTTGTCAAATAGCATCTGTACAGAAGCCACAGGAAATGATGAATATGTTGTCAAATGTTTTACGAACCAGTCATTTTGATGCTGAACCAATGTTGTGATCAGATGGTTTCCATTTATTGGTCCAAGATTATTTGTCTTCTTCAACCTTAAGGTTAGAAGTGAGATATGATGAAGATTTCTTTCCACAGAAGGGAAGCTGAAATTTTTAACAACAAGAAACTATTAAAGCCAACTAAAGTTGAATGACAGGTTGTTGTTAAACAACTTGACATGATATGGTTCAAGTTTCCTTGTTTGAGATCTGATTAGATGTGGAAACATGAAAGGAATTAGGATACATCCTTCTTATAATGTGTTGCAAGAGTCAAATCAGAACAGACATTGTTCTCCTAATTAATCCCTGCTGAGTATGACATGTCTACATCTACACTCTCCAAAGATGATATATTTTCTCTCCAAAGATGATAGATTTTCTCTCCAAAGATGATAGATTCTCTTTTTAAAGATGAAAGCTTTATTGGATTTCTACACAAGTCCAGACAAAGAAAGTCGGTTTTATCTAGACAAAATGGGGCATCAAGGTCATAGTTCTGACTACGGCAAGAGTTCCATAAATGAAATATTTTTTCTGAGACTTTCATGAAACAAAGAAGACATAAAGATTGCTCTTCCAAATCAAAAATACCAGCCTAAAATGACATTTTGACCAAAGTGAAGGAAGAACGAGTTTACCACTTTGAAATCAAATAAAAATGACCTTAACATTCATGCATCATATTTAGGCATTTGCAAAAATAGGTGCATTTTCATTCATTTTATCCATGTTGAATTTTGACAGAATTTCAAAGATTTTAGCAAAGATTCAAATCCATCACAATGAATCAACATTTCCAGAGAAAGTTCATAACGAGAAGAACTCATCTGAAGAAGAAAGAAGAAGTTCATAATGAGAAGAGTTTGTTCAACCTTTTGCTCAAATCCATCATTGATGGATCAACATTTCCAGAGGAAGTTCATAATGAGAAGAACTTGTTCGACTTTAGTTTGATCGATGGACAGCATTGCCAGGTAGAGTTCATAATGAGAAGAACTCATCTGAAGAAGGAAGAAGAAGTTCATAATGAGAAGAACTTATTCAACTTTTTGCTTGATTCTATCACAGAAGAAGATAGATCAGCATCAATATTTCCAGAAGTGTTCATAATGAGAAGAACTCATGAAGAAGGAGAAGAAGTTCATAATGAGAAGAACTTGTTCAACCTTGCCTTAATTCATCATATGAAGTTGAATCAACGACACCTCTTTTGCGGATCAACATTTCTAGAAGGTGTTCATAATGAGAAGAACTCATATGAAGAGGAAGAAGGAGTCCATAATGAGAATAACTTGCTCAACCTTTTGCTAGATTTTATCACAGAATGAGATTGAAAATCATTCCTAGTAGAAGACTTCATAATGAGAAGAACTCGTCCGAAGTTAGCAAAAAGTTCATAATGAGAAGAATTTATAGCTGAGAAGTTTGAACAATTCAAACTAAAAATGGTGCTTTATGTCTTTGCTCCATTTCTGTTCCACAGCAATGAGAAAAGAGGGGCAGCTGTAATCACCATTTTTACCTTGATCCAGCTGGTTCTATGCTCCAATTAGCACTTGCCAGCAGCTTCACATTCCAGTAACTTCTAACCACAAATAGCAGCACTCCAGCAGTCTCTACAAAGAAACACCAGCTGCCTCCTCCACGTTTCAGTTCCAGCCGACGATTCCAGCAACTTCCAGAGGAACAACAGCTGTCCCTCCATACCGACAACAACCCGTGGTTTCCCTTTGGTCCACGACATCACACTACAACCACTCCACACAGCAGCTACCAGCTCCAACCGTGGCCTCCCTTATTCCACGTCTCTCACTCCATGAGCAGCCATATACACAACAACAAAAAATATTAGATTTTTATTTTTACACATGTAATATGGGTTATATAAAAACCCCACCAACATATTGTAAAACGAGGGATGATCAGAATACAAAAAGAGTCAGAAATTAAATCACAGCAAAGGTTCTTTACATTTTGTTTTTATTTTTTAGCTTTACATTTTATTATTATCTTTTTTTCGAAATAAAAACATGTTAATAAAAAACAGTAAAGAGGAGTGGTTTTACCTCATTCTTTGTTCTTCGTCGGAGTCTAGATCGCTGGCGAAACGTCGGTTGAATCGTTGGGAAAAGGCTAGAGTTTTTGTTGTTTCGGTTTTGGTATTTTAATCCCAAATCTGGATTTAATTTTTTTTTAAAAGAAAAAATTTTAGGTTCGTTTTATTGGGTTGGTCGAAAGAGTGTTTGGCCACCGATTTACGGTGGCCGGCGAAGAGTTATTTTTCTTGGACTCTCGACCGAGCCAAGGAGGGAGAGCTTAAAGAATTCTCTCGGTTGAGAGAAAGAAGAAGAAAGAAAAGTGGCTAGGTTAGCCAAACCAGAAAAAAATATGTTTATATAGGCTAGGTTTTTGGTAAAATCATATCCAAGTCACCACAAAACTACCGTGTTTTTACTTTGGTCTTTTTTATGGTTAAATCGCGTTTAAGTCCCTGTATATTTGTTGCGTGTTGCGTTTTGGTTACTGAATGGTTTAATTTAGTTTTAGGGGTAAATCACACTCAGGTCACTAGACTTTTAGAGTTTTTTAAATTTAAATCACTATTTCATGGGTTAATCATCTATAAATCCTCCTAGTTTAGGCATTTTTTTAGTTTGGTCACTGATATCCTTTATTTTTATATTTTTAATTTGAGCATACTATGTCACTAGACTTTGAGAGTTTTTTAAATTTAAATCACTATTTCATGGGTTAATCTATAAATCCTCCTAGTTTAGGCATTTTTTTAGTTTGGTCACTGATATCCTTTATTTTTATATTTTTGAATTGAGCATACTAATTTTATTTTGTTTCTATTCTGGTCATATTTACATTTTATTTTATTTTAACATTGATATATTATTTTTATATATTTATGTTTTGGTCATTTGTTATATTTTATTATATTTTATTTTAATATGTTGTTTGGTTTATTCACACTTTTTCATTTACGTTTTATCTTATTTTAATTTTTAATATGTTGTTCTTGTTTGATTATATTTTTGTCAATGTCTAAATTATAATTTGGTTACTATTTTATTTTATTTTTATTATTTTCATTTATTTTTCAATACTTTAAATTTAGTACTTTAATTATTGCTCTTTATTATTATTTTTATATTAGTCATATAAATATATATATTTTATTTATTTTTAAATATTTAATAATGTTTATTTATTTTCAATATCAAAGAAAAGGGCAGTCTTAATATAACTGGATGTCCTATTCTGGTATTTTAAAAATAAATAAATATCCTGCTTATAAATGTATATATATTTACTTAGTTTTATTATTTTATTTTCAGGAAAATTATTATATTCTTATTAATATTTATTTATTAATATTAAAGAAAATACAGTCTTAAAACAACTAGATGTCCTTTTCTGATATTCTTGAATAAGTAAATGTCCTATTTACAAAACTCTATATATATAATATTTTTTTCTTAGAAATGTCAAATTAAATTTGAAATAGCAGGATTATAAATTAAATATATTTTTACATTTTTAAATTTCTAATAATAGAGAATTTATAATTAATAAGTCCGATTTGGGCGTTATGGGGTGTTAATCATTCTCCAAACGTAATCGACCACGAACCCTTTTTATTATTAAAAAGAATGAATTTTTGGTTAAAACGCAGACCAGTTTATCTTTTAACTGATGTTTTCTTAAAAACTCTTTTAAAATATAATTTTTAGGTATTCGACATACCTGACCCAAAAGGCCGATGGCGACTCCCAAAATATTTTTTAAATCAAAATCATTTATTTATTCGTTTTATTTTTCACACCAAGTTAAAAATTCGTACCGAACAAAACCGGTTACGACACACTATGCAAACCTCGCCGTCGCTCACTCTCGACCCTTTCGTCTTTCCCCTCGTTCTCAAATCATGCTCCGCTATCCACCGCCCTCGACTCGGCTCCACCGTTCACGCTCACGCCACCAAGTCATCTCTCCTCTCCAACCAATTCGTCGCTTGCGCTCTTATCTACTTTTATGGCAAATGCTTCTCCATCTCTTTGGCACGCAAGTTGTTCGACGAAACCCCTCAACGAAACCCCGTTTCTTGGAGTTCCATGATTTCTCTCTACGCGCGCTCCGGAGACATGGAGGTGGCATTGGAATTGTTTCGGTCTATGGATGTTGAGCCGAACGAGTCGACGTTTAATGCCATCATAGCAGGTTTGAATGAATTGGAAGATGGGTCTTTTAAGGCTATTGGATTTTATAGAAGGATGCAGAAAATGGGGTTGAGGCCGAATTTGATTACCCTTCTTGCTTTATTACCTGCTTGCGTTGGCGTAGCTGCATTGAGTTTGATTAAAGGAATTCATGGCTATGCTTTTCGAAACAACATAGAACCTCACCCGCAGTTCAGAAGTGGTTTAGTGGAAGCTTACGGGCGATGTGGAAGTCTTGTTAATGCACGGAATGTATTCCGATGTATAAGAGAAAGAGATGTAGTGGCTTGGAGTAGTTTAATCTCAGCTTACGCTTTACATGGCGAGGCAAAGGCTGCCTTGGAAGTTTTTCAGCAAATGGAGTTGGCAAACGTGCGGCCTGATGACATTACTTTTCTTGGCGTTTTAAAAGCTTGTAGCCATTCTGGATTAGCTGATGAAGCATTGGATTATTTTGATAGAATGCATACGGATTACAAAGTTGAAGCAAGTGCTGATCATTATTCGTGTTTAGTTGATGCATTGAGCAGAGCAGGGAGGTTGTGTGATGCTTACAAAGTTATTAAAGAAATGACTGTGAAGCCAACTGCAAAGACTTGGGGAGCGTTACTTGGTGCTTGTAGAACTTATGGAGAAGTTGAATTGGCTGAGATTGCTGGGAGAGCTTTGTTTGAGATAGACCCGTCTAATGCAGCCAATTATGTGTTATTGGCTAGGATATATGCTAGTGTTGGAAGATATGAGGAAGCTGAGAGAATGAGATTGGAAATGAAGGAAAGGGGAGTGAAGGTAGCTCCTGGTAGCAGTTGGATTTAAATGATCAAGACCAACGAAGTTTCATGGATTTTCTTGTACCCTTTGAGAACTAGAAAGTATGATGATGTTACATTGAGCGCTTCCTGCTGCATCTGTAACGGCTACCATTGCCTCACTGGGAAGCGCTTGCTTTGGATCCTAGTGATTACTTATCGTCTATATCTACCTATCTTTCACCAGTCAAAGAAGCTTTTAGAGGTGGAGGAGGAAATGTAAGGCGTAGCTAGCCACAGAGTTAGCTCCAAGTGCCATCATTAGGAACAATTTTGGCCATTGGAATCCATCTTTTTGCTAAATTGACTGGTTCCGGAATTTGACATGGATGATAGTATGAAGGCAGGTTATCTATTTCACACATTGTTTGTAAGGAACTAAGGATAGTACTCTTTTGTCTATTTTCAAATGACTAATAGTGGGACTTCGTTCTTGTGCCAATAAACCTTCACTACACAGATATATTTGCCACAGATGGGAACCATGATTATTCAACTGTGAAGGTATATGGTTTCAGTATATCCATAAAAAATATAGCCTAAATAATGTCTCGTGTTTATAATAAATCCGCTTTGCGGTCAGCTACTTACCTAGCAAAGTGCATCATTTTGCTTCCGGTTCTGTCCATTATGTACTTGCAGTAGCTTTCACCCAAAAGCAAGAGAAAAGCTCGTCTTATTTTTGCATTTGCAGAGAGAAAAGTTTAACCAACCGGTAACATATACATATGAATTAATACTATAGCCCCTGACAATAGTTATGCTTTGCATCCTGAAACCCCAATCTCTACAGCTGGAAAATACAAAAGGAAAGAAGAAGAAGAAGAAGAAGAAGAAGAAGAAGAAATGAATCACTCTTTCTCACCATCTCCTTCTGCAAGACTCAGAGCCTGACGAACAGAGTTCTCTGTTTCTTCCTCCATACTAAAGTATGGTTTCCTTCCCATCAATTCTGCCACTCTTTTGGCTGGCCCTGAAGCCCGAGGACTTTCATGCCAAACCCTCACAGTCCTAATCTTTGGAAGAAGATCATTGATCTTACCTATTGACTGCGGTGATTCTTCCTTTAGAATGATCACTTCACTCGGAATTTCCCACTTCTTCATTCTGTTCTCACTCTTTTCATTCTTGCACGAATCAACTATCCGTTCATTTGAAACACACCTCTTATCGTGCTTGTTGCTCTCCTGCTTTTGAGCGTCGCTTACCGTGAAACTCACATTGCTCTGATTGGGAAACTGATTGTACCTGCTACCGACGACTCTCCCATGTTTCAATGGTTTCCTTGCCGATACTGGTTTTTCTCCATCTTGAAGAGCCTTTTAGGCTGAATTGTAGAAATAACGCCCTTTTATCCCCCCACCGTTGTTGCTGCAGGCTTAGGAGCAATGACCTTGGAAACAGTTTTACGTGAATTAGGACTGAGACTCAAGCTCTTGCCTCTCTCTCTTGTAACCCTGCCTTCATCAATATCTTGAAGCTTAAAGAAACATGATTTGCGGCGACTCTGTATTGACTGTATAGGGGTTATGAATTCATGCTTCATGAATTGCCTGGATTTTGTTGCTGAGAAAATATCCGTTGGACCTAAACTAACCCCCCTTCTATTCAATTTGGTTTAGCACTTGAAAATGGAAGATCACGAATCGTTTTTACCGTCTAACAGCAATTTTGAAGCAAAAGGGACTGAGACTAAATTCTCTTCTCAAGAGGAAGACAAAAGAGAAGTGTTTGAAGATGGAACAGAGCGGACAGCTGCAGAAACGTGAAAATATGGGAGCAAGTGCCAAAAATCAGGATTCTGAAGATGCGGGTAATTATGGAATGGAGGGGGAAAGAATCATGCGAATAATACAATCGATATAAATCGATGATGCAGATGACGAACAATAAAAGATCAACAGCTTCAAAGGCCAGCTTGAAGCGAAAAGTGTAAGGTTTTCAGCGACTTTATGTTTGAAAACAGCTGGATTGCACTTGCATTGTAATTATAATAACCTTTGGCAGTAAAATTATGTTTGGAATTCATGGAAGTATCAGTACATGGTCAATGACTGCCATAACATAATTCAAATCTCAGATTATTCAAAAAAAAATCTCATTTTCTATCACATAAAAGGTGAAATTCAATAGAAAGTTCAATTCAAAAAGCATAGTTCACTACTTTCCAAATCAATCAACAGATTCTGAATCCTCAAACTGTTGCTTCCCATTATCAACAGAACTAAACAACAAACAAGGCAGTGGGTTAGCTGATATCATCCTCCAATTTGCTCATTCATCACTCCCTTGGGGAAAGAGAAATTATTAACGGGAAAACATAATACCTTGTCAACTACATTGAAAACAATACCCTAAGGACATCAAAGTTCCAGGCACACATTATTACAGGGAATCTTGTAAAAACTAAAAGCTCCAACCTCATTTCTGTGCCGTTTCCACTGCATTCTACAACAAGAAAAAGATAAAATGAGAGGATAAGCCATAATAGATACACTACAATAATGTGAACTAAGGAACTGTTAAGCACTCCTATTAGCTATCACTAGTTAGATTCTAAATGAAATGATCACACAGCCTTGATAATCAACAGTAGATGTGTGATGGGGGACATTTAGCTTCAAAATGTAAACATGAGCTCGAATGGTATATAAACCACTTATGGTTTTCAACCATAATCTGGTATGTACTGAAGGTAAATAATATTCATTCCATGTTTAACAATAAATTTTAACCTTGACCAATGGAAACATCTCCAGCAAAATGGGACATAGGCCTAACTGAATAATAGAAAATCCACAACAAACGTCAGTCAATGCCATTCTCTTGAAAAGGAACTTCCAGATATGAAAATGGCAAAGCTCAGAAAAATTGGGCATAATTGTCTTGGACTCACACACCTGAGTCCGAGTAACATAACACTGACAATGCAAAAAATTGCTTACTCAATTCTAATGATAAGTAAAAGTTCAAGAGTATATGAAAGTACCTCTTCCTTCTTGCCTTTGCCTCTGGTTAAGAACTTGTATCCACCATAGAAAAGCAGACCCCAACCAGTTACAGAGACGATAACAAACTGTGCAATAAAAAAAGTGAATAAGTTCCCACATTTATTCCTCCTCTAATTTATCGACAATATCATCAAATAGATTGAAAACCGGTGCCTATGAAATTATACATGATAAAATAGGAAGTAAAAAAACATCAGTGTGTGCTGTAAGCAGCCCAATGTCAACGAGATTTTAACTTGAAATAAATTAAAGATAGGGAGAGGGCGTAATTATAAATATAAATGAAAACAAAAAAAAATCCCAATTTACTAGTCCAAACTATCTAAAATCTGGAAATAAGGCAAGAAATTATGAGGAAAATTGAAATATAAAACATGAAAAGAAATAAACTGACATGTTCTTCCTTCCATTTAGCTGGGTTCATTGGTTCTTGCCAACAGTTAACTTTTGGGGGTCCATGGTGATCTGCAAAGAATAAATAAAGTAAAATCAAGAAATATTCTGTAAAAAATGTTCTTAACTTCTAAGATCCTTTGCCTCCGACTATCAAATTCAAATGAGATTAAATTGAAGTTAATCGGGAGATAACTTTTACAATCGAATATAATATAAATTTAAAGCGTAATGGGTATACAGCAAATACCTGCACCGCCGGCGAGACCACGGCGAGGAATGAGAGAAGCGGCTTGAGAGGGAGCCGGTGTACTAGATACAGTAGCTATTCTACGAGCTGCAACCGCCGCCAACGTAGCCATCAAGGTGGTTTCTTCTTTGATTCGGTGTCCAGGGGTTAATCACAAGAGAATCGGGATGGTACATGATAACCTAAACTACTATAATAAGGGGGACACATAATAAATAAAAAAAACTTGAAAAAAAATAATATTTTTTTAAAAAATATTAAATTTATTAAAATACTTTATTATTTTAGATTAATTAAAATAAAAAAAGCAATACTAATGATTATTTTCTAGTAATAATTTATTAGTATATAATGAAATAAATAAGTAGTTATTAAGTAAGCTATGTGCAATTTTCTAGAAGGGTAAAAGAGTACATACGGTGATTTTTAATTTTATTTTTTTCATTTTATTGTAACATAAATATTTAAATTATATCAAATTTTATTTTAAATAATTTTTTTTCATCTTAATAGAGGTTTAATATTTCATTGTTACTTTTGGTCAGGCGGATTTAAAAATATTTTTGAGGGTGAACATACACGTTAATAACACAAAACTTTTAATTGTAAATTAGATGCTATGAACGTGACCTTCAAATCTTCAATCTGACACTCTCCCAATTGAGTTATTCCCGCTTGTTTTCTTAATGAACATTTCAATTTAGATCTTCAGTCTGAACTCCATAGATCTTATGCTCTTCAAACTAAGCTTATCATAATATAGTAATTGTTTTTACATTTAAAATAACTAATGAATCAAATTATAATAATAATGCAATTCAATTAAAATTAGATGCGACGAACGTGAATTGAACACGTGACCTTCAATTCTTCAATCTGACGCTCTCCCAATTGAGTTATTCTCGCTTGTTTTCTTAATGAACATTTTAATTTAGACCTTCAGTCTGAACTCTATAGATCTTGTGCTCTTGAACTAAGCTTATCGATAATATAGTAATAATATTTAAAATAACTAATGATTCAAACCATAATAATACTCCAATTCAATTAAAACTAGATGTTGTGAACGTGGTTCGAACACGTAACCTTCAGATCTTCAGTCTGATGCTCTCCCAATTGAGCTATCCCCACTAGTTTTCTTAATGAACATTTCAATTTAGACCTTTAGTCTAAACTCCATAGATCTTGTGCTTTTCACAGTAAGCTTATCGACAATATAGTAATTATATTTAAAATAACTAATGACTTAAATCATAATAAAATTAGATACAGTGAACATGGATTGAACACGTGACCTTCAGATCTTCAGTCTGACGCTCTCCCAACTGAGCTATCCCCGCTAGTTTTCTTAATGAACATTTCAATTTAGACCTTCACTCTGAACTCCATAGATCTTGTGCTCTTCAGACTAAGCTTATGTGGATCAAACATGGGACCTTCAAATCTTAAGTCTGATGCTCTCCCAACTGAGCTATCCCCGCTTGTTTTCTTAATGAACATTTCCATTTAGATATTCAGACTGAACTCCATATATTTTGTGATCTTTAAACTAAGCTTATCGATTATAATATACTCCAATTCAATTTTAAAATTCAATTTTAATTAAATGCAGTGAATGTGGATCGAACACATGACCTTTAGATATTCACTCTAGTGCTCTCCCAACTAAACTATCCCCGCTTGTTTTCTTAATGAACATTTCAATTAAGACCTTCAGTCTAAACTCCATACCTAAATTATCAATTTTGATCCATTTTTGTACCTAAATTAAAAAAATCAAAACCATACATAACATTTAGTTTTTGTTTCATTTTAGTACCTTGTCGTTAAATACTTAACAGATGGGTTGACGGGGCATAAATCCAATGGACAGACGACCAATTCGAACGGTGGACCATGAGAGAATGACGAGTCGATCAACATAGTCCAGTTTCAGGCCCATCAGACGATTGACGAAGAAGATTGAAAGATAAAAAGTTAAAGAGTCTATTGTCTAATTGGGCGGATTGAGTTTTTTGGTGAAACGAAGGTTGAAATCACGTTTAGGGAGTCGAAAATGTGCAAGCTAGAAGTTTGGGCTTCATCGACCGAAAAATTCGACGGCTGTAGATGCAGCGACTGACAAGCCCGCCCATTAATTTTTTAACGACGGCGTGAATTGAACACTTGACCTTCAAATCTTCAATTTGACGCTTTCCCAATTGAGTTATTCCCGTTTGTTTTCTTAATGAACATTTTAATTTAGACCTTCAGTCTGAACTGCATAGCTCTTGTGCTATTTGAACTAAGCTTATCGATAATAATAATAATATTTAAAATAACTAATGATTCAAACCATATAATACTCCAATTTAATTAAAACTAGATGTTGTGAACGTGGTTTGAACACGTAACCTTCAGATCTTCATCTGATGCTCTCCCAATTGAGCTATCCCCACTAGTTTTCTTAATGAACATTTCAATTTACCTTTAGTCTAAACTCCATAGATCTTGTGCTTTTCACAGTAAGCTTATCGACAATATAGTAATTATATTTAAATAACTAATGACTTAAATTTTAATAAAATTAGATGCGGTGAACATGGATCGAACACGTGACCTTCAGATCTTCAATCTGACGCTCTCCCAACTGAGCTATCCCGCTAGTTTTCTTAATGAACATTTCAATTTAGACCTTCACTCTGAACTCCATAGATCTTGTGCTCTTCAGACTAAGTTTATGTGGATCAACATGTGACCTTCAAATATTAAGTTTGATGCTCTCCAACTGAGCTATCCCCGCTTGTTTCTTAATGAACATTTCAATTTAGATATTCAAATTGAACTCCATATATCTTGTGATCTTTAAACTAAGCTTATCAAATTATAATAATACTCCAATACAATTTTAAAATTCAACTTTAATTAAATGCGATGAATGTGGATCGAACACATGACCTTTAGATATTCCCTCTAAAGCTCTCCCAACTAAACTATCCCCGCTTGTTTTCTTAATGAACATTTCAATTAAGACCTTCAGTCTAAACTCCATACCTAAATTATCAATTTTGATCCATTTTTGTACCTAAATTAAAAAAAATCAAAACCATGCATAACATTTAGTTTTTGTTTCATTTTAGTACCTTTTCGTTAAAAACTTAACTGATGGGCTGACGGGGCATAAATCCAATGGACGGAAGACCAATCCGAATGGTGGACCACGAGAGAATGACGAGTCGATCAACATAGTCCAGTTTCAGACCCATCAGACAATTGACGAAGAAGATTGAAAGATGAAAAAGTTAAAGAGTCTATTGTCCAATTGGGCAGATTGAGTTTTTTGGTGAAACAAATGTTAAAATCACGTTTAGGGAGTCGAAAATGTGCAAGCTAGAAAGTTTGGGCTTCATCGACCAACGAATTCGATGGCCGACGGTTGTAGATGCAGTGACTGACAAGCCTGCCCATTAATATTTTAACGACGGCGTACTAAAATAAAACAAAAACTAAACGTTATGTATAATTTTGAAAGAGATTTAAAAGTTTAGGTACTAAAACGGTCAAATTTGGTAATTTATCCAATATTTAAATGAGGTGGACACAAATAAAATTTCAAAATAGACATCTCAATAAAATAAATTACTAATCAAACAAAATTCAAATTTCAAGATGGACACGTATCCATCCTCGTGTGCACCCATATGCATCACTAAAATTATCCATTAAACCATCTTTATTTATTTTTGATGAATTCTTCGTACCCTACAATTTTTTATGTAGCTCATAAACATGTTAATTTTATAAATTAACTGAAAATGGCATCATCTGATATATTTACATAAATATATTCAGATAATCAAATTGGGGAGGTATAATTTAATGTCCATTGAGTCACCCATGAACCGTGTTATTCGCTTTTTAACGCACAAATTAAGCTACAACTATATTTGTGTTGTCAAAAGAGTCACCTCTTCCTGAAGATGAATACATGCAACATCTCCTTCAACCACAACCGAACACCAGCCATACTCGACAGCTAGTTTGATATATGGGGTGAACGTATATGCTTTCACAACTACATGATCAACACCACCACTCTGTTTGCATGCATGACCAGCTACAATCATACTACATGAATTTCATGTACCATAAAGATCAGATGATGTTGAGATCAACTTTTTGAGACTTAGGTTTTTAATTTTGCAAACAATGAGATTAAATTAAAATAGAATGTATGGAATGATTTATTTGATTATGGTATAACTCAAAATATACAAGTTATTATTTTTTAAAGTTGAAAACAGAGGGAAGGGAGATGAGAATTGAGAACGTCATACCGGTGGGACTCGAGTCCCCAAGGTATATTTAAGTATTGCACAGAAAGCGAACGATCCTTTTATGTTGTACGTTGAACTTGAAGATTAATGGTATAGTAGGGAAGATTATACCAGACCAAAAAAGTAGCAGAAAGGAAACAATGGAGGATAACGAAGTAGTATACATATCACCACATCCTCAGCGAAGAAGTTAAGCAAGATTACAAGTAAACAGGAGGAACTCAAACCTCACATTTGTCTGAAAACAACATGGACATGGAGGATTGCTTTATTCTTGATTCTAACCCCTTTGATTCCATTGACATTTCCAAGCTCTCCATTACTATCGGCGACGTCGACGATGATGATCTCTCTCTCGTGGCCAAGAAGGGCCAAGGTTTTCCTTTCTTCCATATGTTATACGGACACGTTCTTTAAATTTACACTAATAAGGATTTTTGTGTCTGATGTTGGATAGGTAGATGTAGAGATATCCCCATTCAAGGCATCTCGTGTTCGATTCCCTTTGATAAAACTGCTCATGAGAAACACTGTGACCTGGTATGCATAAATGTAAAACACAGTCTTCTACTTTGAACATTGCATTAGTTTTAAGGATTGTAATTACTTAATTTGGGTTGATTCATATTGCAGTGTTACTGTTATGTTTGTGATTCAGTGGCTCCATGTAAGGTCGGCAGCACATTGTGATGCTTCAGAGCATGTTCAGCATTAGAGATCTGAAAGGAATTTGACGATACTTGTCGCAACCGTCTTCGGTTGTGCCCCGTAATTGGGCTTCGACTTGAAAAATGTGAATTGGGAGTCGCCACCGATCATTTACTTTACGAAAAGTGGTTGATCGGATACCTTATTTCTTACCTGATCTGCTTACTAGTGATATGTCGGATCCAGGAGTCGGTTACGGTCAAGGAAGGATTAGCACCCTTGAACCGCCCCTTTCGGTACTATGTAATTTCCAGTTGTCTTTAATTAAGAAAGTTGAAAGTTTAAATTGAAAGGTAAAATAACGATCCAAAACTTACATTTGATTGATTGAAAATGTACCTTAAGAAAGTAAAAAGCCATGTTAGATAATGGTAAGAAATTAATTAAATTAAAATGAAAAGAAAACAAATTAAGTAAAATGATAATGAAGAAAGAAAGCAAAGATAAAATAGTAAGTAAAAAACAAATAATAATATATATAAAAAAGAAAAAGAAAATAAATAAACAAATAAACAAAATAATAATAACAAGTACGAATAATATATATATATATATATATAATATATATATATATATAAAATAATATATATAAATTAATAAATTAATGACGAAAAGAACATAAACACATATAATGGTAAAAAAATAAAGATAATTACAATATATATATATATATATATTAACAATACTAATAATGATAATAAGTAGTTAAAAAAAGACAATCACACTGAAAAGGGAAGAAAAGAAAGTAAGATTTGGTGAAGTATAATTGACAGGAAGAAAAAAATGATGAGGGGTGGGGACAAAGTAGGTAGATATAATTAACTTGTGTAAATATATATATATATAATAGTAAAAATGTATATATAACAACAATAATATCAATAAAAAAGAAAATAAATATAATATAATGATATAAAAAATATAGAAAATTAATAGAAAAATATATGTATAATATTATAAATATAGCACTAAAAATAAAAAAAAACCAAATATATATTAATAATAGGTATAAAAACTAAAATATTTAAAAAGAACATACGCATATATATATATAATAAAATAAATAATATAAAATAATACAAGTAATACAAGAATAATAAAAAGAAAGAGAAAATAAAAAAATATAATATAATAAAATATAAAAATATACATATATATATAAATAAGTAGAATAAAAGGAAAATATAATAGTAAAAATAATAATAAATATAATACTAATAATAAAAAAATAATATAATATATTATATATATATTATATATATATATATATATCTATATATATATATATATATGGGTAATAACGTATATAATAGAGAAAATTTAAAAAGTGATAAATTAAAAATAAAATAGCAAGTATGTATATATATAAAAAAAAACTAATTACGGGATTAAAATGAAGGAATGTAAATTAAGTGGGTAAATGTCAAAGAACATTGAAGATTAAAACCGGCAAAAATAAAAAAAAATCATTTTTTGATAGATTTTCGTACTCTCATTCTAAAAATGTAATTTGTTTTTGCGAAATAGCCTCTAGGGAACGTAGATCTGAAATCAAAGTTTCGAAAAAACTCCCTCTGGGTCATCGGCTAAAAACATTTGTCTTTGGGTTCTCCAAAGAAAAACACGATTAACAACGCATGCAAGTGAAGAGTAAAGAGAAACAAACGAAAGATAAAAAAAGTTTTCACCTTTATTACTTCGAATCGTTTATAATAGCTTTGTTTCCTTATGTGGATCCACTCAATTCCTTACCCGTTACCTTTGTTTCGGAGTCGGTCAGTCACCCACTTTTCATCAACCCTTGTAATCTTGGCCAGTCTATTCTTGAAAGGCTGACTCTTTTTGTGTTTGATGTAGCTTGCTCCAGTTTAATGCTTTCACAGTGCAATAGTGTAGTATACTCCTCGATGGTAGGTACCATGTCCCTTGGTTAAAGTGAAGCAAATGTGTCACGGGTTCCAGAATTGAACCAAGGCTCTGATTAAGGGCTCACCGGTCTTAACATGAAGCAAAGTGCAATGTCACCATACCGCTGACTGAACTTCTGTTTTCGATCATTCTTCCAACTGTCCCAGATGTTTCGAAGTTCTTGCACATTGTTCTATTATAGGCTGATAGAGGTATAGCTAACAAGCTCTGACACATAACTTCCTTGAAGACTGTCTCCCTTTTCTTTCTGAGTCTTCTCGAACCATAGTCGTACCTCGGGGTTTTTAATCTCCTGTATTACAACACCTTTGTCCATTAATGCAGATATTTATGGTTAACAACACATTTTTTGGTGGATCAACACTTTTGAATGATGCAGATGATGTAAATAAAATAAAAGAGAGGAAAAAATGAAAAGAGTAGTAAGGTAAAGATAATAATCAAAGCAATCATGAAATAAAAGTCATACCCCACATGATATTTACCCACATGCTTATTATTCCTACCCGGACATGATCTCTATCCCGCAAGTTGATTTTGAACAAGTCCTAACCGCATAAATTTCTAGTTGACATGTTTTGAACAGAAAGTAAAATAGAAAATAATTTCGGCATCCTAGGGTTTAGAACGAGGTTTTGGGGTGAGCCCTAACTCCTTGTAGTCTCCGGGTTTAGGTTCTAAAAAAAGGTAC